GCCCCTGCTCAGCCCTGCCCCTGCTCAGCCCTGCCCCAGCCCCTATCCCTGCCCCAGCCCTTGCCGAAGTCCCAGCTTCAGCCCCAGCGTCCGTCCCTGCCCCAGTCCCTGCTTCTGCCCTGCCCCTGCCTCAGTCCCTGCCCCCTGGTCCCGTCACTGCCCTGCCCCAGCCGGACCTGGGCTTCCAGCGACTTTGGGAACAAGAGCCTGTTAGTCCAGACACCGGCTGCGCGCATCCAAGAGTACAGTTACCTTCTGCCATGTGCTCCGCTCTAGCGACCTCACCCAAAACTGCGCCGCTGCCTGCCCAGCCAACTTTCTTCTCTCCCTTTTCCTTCCAACAAAACGGTGCTTCCCACCAACAAACTCGCCAACCAACAGTTTAGCGCAAATCTCAGCCCAGTTTTCCTTAACAAAATCCAAGTCGCTCGCCGCCCACTTGACTCGGGTCCCCAGGGCCAACTCAGCCTGTGGGACTGCTGGGAGTCCCGGGCACTCCTGGCACCCCTTCCCGCTATCCCTCTCAGCGGGCACTCACCGATCTGCGCTAGGCTCAGCTGCACGAGACAGAGTCCCCAGGCTGCGCGCCACCAAAGCTTGTTCATGGTATCCGGGCAAACTGGAGAGAGAGTGAGCAGAGCCGGAGGGTCCCGGGGCACGGGGCGGGGGCCGGCGGACGAGAGGGTAAGGAGGGCGGCCCGAACTTGTCAGAGGCTGGGGTCCGGCTGGGCAATGAGGCCGCCTCGGAAGTTGGCTGCAGTTTTTATCCGAGGGTTGAAAGAGTGACCTAAGAGGGAGGGAGCGAGCGAAAGACACACCCAAGGGGGCTGTGACTAAGCAGCCGGCAGCGGTTTAAAGACGTACCAGCTGTGCTCTGCGATGCCCCGCTGCCCTCCTGGCGTTCTCTACGGAGATTGTCTGCTAGCGCTGCCTCAGCACTGCGGGTCCAGGCCCTCCCAGCGTCCACCGGCCCGCGCGCCCCCTGGCCACACTTTCTTCTCCCAGCCAGCTTGATTGGCGGCCTAAGGAAGGAGGATGACTGTGTTCTGAAACCTAGTCCATTTGGTCCAGCCTCTGGCCCTTCCTGTCCACAAAGTTTCTCTTTGAATCCAGCTGGGGGATCGTTCTTTCGGGGTTTCACAGGCAGCTGGATATCCTGGGAGCGGGCGGAGGACCGAGGTGAGGTCCTGCACTGCATGGTGTTTCCCTGCCCAGGGAGAGGGGTGGAACGGGGCTTGTGATTCTCCCTGGGGGAGGAGGGAGTGCACATCCCTCTTCCTTTCAAGGAGAAACAAAGTCCACAGCGCTCAGGTGGATTTTTGGTTCTTGCAAAAACTGCCCAGGGAAAGCATCTATGGGCTGTTTGTCTCCACTAACCCATGTGTTCTTCCTCCAGTCCATTCATCCATCCATCCACCCACCTACCCACCCACACAGTCATTCATCCTCCCATACATCCTTCAATCCGCCCATTCGTCTATTGACCTACCTTTCATCACAATCTGCCAGCACTCATCCATCCCTCCATCTTCCTGTCCATCCATTATCCACTCACACACCCCTCTATCCTCCCATCCATCCATTTATCCACCCACACATCCATTCATCATTTCCACATTCTTTCAACTATTCACATATTTATTCATCCATCTTTCTTCCAATCATTTATCCAACCACACATCTTTTCATCTATCCATCTATCCAATCACGTATTCTTCCACCCATCCTACCATACATCTTCTCATCCATCCTTTCAACTATTCTTTTTCACATCTCTTCATAAACTGACATTGATCTATCCACCATCCTCTTCTCCATCCATATACCTACATATCTATTCATCTATGTACCCATCCATTGCCCATCTGCCATTCACATATCCATTTTTTATTTATCTTCTCATCCACCCACACACCCATCCTTTCTTTCTTGCTCTCGTTCATACTCCCCTCTATGCAAACGTTAATCCACTTTCCCCCACCCCACCTACCCAGTAAATATCAAAGAGAGGAGGGGATTGTCATATTGTTCAGGAGAGACATTTTGAGTTTGAAAACTGTGTTTCACATCATAATTCATGTATATGTATAACAGTTGTTATGGAGTCAATTCCGACTCATGGCAAACCCATGTGTGTCAGAGTAAAATTGTGCTCCATAAAGTTTTCAATGGTTGGTTTTCAGAAGTAGATCACCAGGCCTGTCTTCCGAGGCACCTCTGGGTGAACTAGAACTTCCAACCTTTCAATCAGCAGCCAAGAGCATTAACCATTTATAATGTACTATGATTTAATATTTGGAAATCAAAAGCAGTTATTTGTTTTGAATGTGAACTGCTGAAAGTAAAGCTGAATAGACTCCTTGCCTGGTAAGATGCACAGAATATGATAGTGGTATTCAGTGGCTGGAGCATGACATTGAAGAAGCCATGCCAGAATTTCTGAGAGATCAGATTTTGTTATTTATTAAAATAACTTGAAGAGTTGAGAGAAGATGCACCCAGCCATTAATTCATCCATTCACTCGTCAAGCATGTACTGAGTGCCCAAGGATGTCAAGATAAATAAGACCTGGCCCTGTCAGGGATCTCACGCTCAGGTAGGGAATCAGACTCACAAGTAGGCTGTTACCACATAATATGATACCCTGTTGCTGGCAAGCCGATTCTACTCATAACAATCCTATTCTACAGAGTAGAACTGTTCCATAGGATTTCCAAGGAGCGGCTAGTGGATTTGAACTGCCTGCCGTTCTTTTGGGTAGCAGCCGAACTCTTAGCCACTACACCACCAGGGCTCCCACGTAATATGATATGTGCTGCAAAATACATGCTTACAGACTGCTATCAATCCTGGAAAAGGGAACCCCAACCTCTCCTGGTGAACACTGGGGAGGCTTCATGGCAGAGGTGATATTTAAACCAGGTCTAGAAAGGGTAGGAATTCTTCAGATGAAACTACAGGGGCAAGACATTCACAGGCAGTATTCTGTAGTGATTAATAGTAAAGATTCAGAACCCAGAATGCCTTGGTTCAAACCCTAGCCTAGCTGCTTACTAGTTGTATGACCTTGGACAAGTCAATTAGCTTTTCTGTGCCTCAGTTTCCTCATGTATAAAATGCACTCAATAATAGTACTACATAATAGGATTGTTGTGAAGATTATGAATGAGTCAAAAGTGCTGTATATAGTAATCACTCAATAATATAAGTGTTTGAGTTCCTGGGTGGTGAAAATGGTTAATGCTCAACTGCTAACCAAAAGGTTGGCGCTTTCAGTCCACCCAGAGATGCCGTGGAAGAAAGACCTGGCAATCTGCTTCTGAAAAATTAGTCATTGAAAACCCTATGGAGCACTCTTCTACTCTGACACACATGGGGTCGCCATGAGTCGGAATTGAATGAATGGCAACTATTTTATATACGTGTGTGTGTGTGCTTGCTATTTTTAACAGTAAAATTTATGTGTGAGTATGGAAAAGTGAAAGAACATGGCTTGTTCAGGGAGTGGAGAGCAGTTTTGAATGACTAGAGCATTAGATCAGATGAAGAGTTTGGGAGGGAGACAGCAAGACACAAGGCTAGAGAGGTAGGAGGGACTGGGTTGTAAGCTATGCCAGATAGTTTGAATTTGACAGAGTAGGAAATAGGGAGCCAATGCAAGTTTTGAAGGTGGGGAGAGCCTGTTTGACTACAGACTGATTTAGTTGCATTTTCAGAGAGAGAGTTTGGGCTGAAAATCATTGTCTGCTGGAACAATTCCCTGTCTACTCGGCAGCTGGCATTCCATAACTCAAGGGGTCGCCTGTCTGAAATGAAGACAGTGCCTCTGAGCCCCAGCCTGAAGAGCAGGCACTTTGAAAAGTGCTACCAGTAGCAGAAAAGAGTTGGTGCAGTTGCTGTCACCAACAGGGCACATTCCTGGGACAACTGGTTGCTTGGGACAAACTGGCTCCCAGGTAGAGCTTCAGTCTCTACTCTCCTGAGAAACCAGCCCAGGTGGGTTCCAGGGGCAAGAGCACTGGACACAAATAAATAAATAAATGGATGTGAAAGAAGTGCTTTGCAAATTCTAAAGAGGTATGTAAATTTTAGGGATCATAATTAGGCTTATTCTCCCAGGGAGAATATATTAATATTTAACCTGCCTGCTTCCCGATAATTTAGTGAGGGACTGAGGCTTTCCACCCCCGTGCCACAAATGACTCATTTCAACTAACAGACCTGGTGACTTGCTGTGTCAGTGCCAGCCTTTGGGAATTCCTGGATCACCTCTCTGAGCTCCCCTTTCATCCTCTTTCCACCTCAAGTGGCCCCCGCCCCCACCACTGGTCACACAAAGACTTTCCCCTAAAGGTTAAAATCCTTAAAAGTTATTAATTGTAGATGCTAGATATCTGTTGCATCCTGCATCAGATACCTTCCTAAGTCAAACTATGGGATGCGGGAAACTGGAAAAGAGAGCTTGAACTGATATGGGTTGATATGAGATCACACAGTTTGGAAAAGAATCCAGAATGCAGTCAGGAAGGCTTGGACTGAGAAAGCTTCACTCTGAGCTTGGACTTCCCTTATCAGCTGGGTAACTTTACTCAGGTCACTGAATCTTTGGGAGTTTTGGTCATTCCATCCCCAAAATGAGGTTAATAAGAATTTTCTCCCACTTTGTTATGAATAGTAAGTGAAAGAAGGCATCAAGACATTTAACTAGGGTGTCTGCCTCATGGTAGGGACTCAGTGACCCAACAACGTGTTAGCTCCAAGAGGACAGGGTCATGTCTGTCTTAGGCAGCAGTCCATTCTCAGCCCTCAGTACCTGACATATCCCAGTGCCTGGCATATATTGGGAGCTCAATACGTACACATTATATAAATGCATGAATGGCCGCTGTTCTTTCTCCTCCTGCCACACTATGTACGGTTATTTCAGGAATCCCATGAGCTACTAAGTGGAAGCACTTAGAAGACGTGGCGATTTCCAAATACAAGCAGCAGTATCATATATCTGGTGTGACTGGTTTGGGAGGACTGCAGAGGAACCAGAGCATGTATCACTCTGGGAGACTTTTTTTTTTTTTTTTTTGCACTATAATATTGGGGCCTGATGACCACTGACTATTAATAAATCTTGTTCGTCTTAAGCAAACTGAAAGTCAAATCTAAACCAAATGTAAGCTGGAGCGTGCAGAGCAAGGCTGAATCATGAAATGTGAGGATTATAAATACAGCAGACCATGCACTTTTTTAAAGGGACAACATTGAATTCCTTCATGGTGCTGTTTCCCAGGAAAAGAACCACCTGGCAGAGTAAAGAAAAAGTGCCAATCCAGTTAAACTTTAACTCTTAAAAAATCCACCTTCAGTTCCCACTCATAGTGTGAAAGGTACACATGCAAATGAGCAGTTGTGGAAAAGCTCTCATGAAATACTTATTAGTGAAGTCTAAATAAACTGGTCATTTGGGAAGCATTCTTCAAGGTAAATGACTTTGAATGACTAATCAGTTTCGAGTTAACCAAGTATGATTACGGAGCTGAATCTTTAGGATTAGTAAAGCTCTCAGATTACGTCAGATAAACTAGCTGCTGGGACTGTTGCACTTTGGAAATGCCAAGGGAACAAGGTGCCTCTAGATTCTAGATAGTTCCGTGTCAGTCACAAAATGGGTTTTACACATCTTTAGAAGTTAATATGGTACACAAGTCAGACCACATCCCACATCTGGATGGTAACCAATTTAGAAATGTG